ACTCATACTTAAAGGACTTTCAGAAGTTTGTATTCTGAATGTGACCGGACTTTTTTTAGTTAACATTATGTATCCAGAGCTCCTATAGAGGCCTAGTTTTAGCATCACTTGGTTTAAATTCTGGAAACATCTTCTATAAAGCACTTTCTACTTATAAATCAGAAACAGGTTTATTGAGAAAAAAACAACAGATTAATCAGTTATTAAAAAAAGGCGATAGCTGCAGGCCTATTTGGAGTAAACAGAGAGATCCTTGACCCTTCCTATTTGAATAAGCTCTCAGGATCACACAGACTACTGGGTCCCCTCATACTTCTCACCTAAAACATTTTATTCAGGATTTAACTCTATAGTTTGTAATGGTAAAGGAAGAAGGCTTATTGTGAGCCACTCCTGTCTTGATTTAGAAATATCTGTTGGATCACAGTCATCCTGAGAGGCTCCATGACAACTCCATCTTAGCTTTCCTATAAAAAAATAAAACATTGTGTTTTAAAAAGGCACTGGTGCATGAGAGTTTGCACATTTAAGCTAGTGTTTGGCGGGTAGACAGTGACTAATGGTTGTTATGAAGATTTGCGATGCCAAGATGCAGTTCTCCAACTGTGAGCTTTGAAGATTTTTTTTCCTTCCTTTTCCATCCTGCTCATTTACCACAGTAACAAAATACAGCTGTTTTTTTTACCCATAAATCTGAATACTGCTTAAGAGAAATGATCTGCGTGTCAAATCAGAAATTCATGGATTAAAAAATAGATGTTTCTAAAAACTCATCGGCATAAAATATGCTAAAGTTACATTTATTTCTTAAAGCGCTTGCCAAAATCATCTGAAGTAAAGATTGGATTTTATTCTTTTTTTCTCCATGGATTAATTCAAGTTTGGATTCCTAAATCTTTGATATTAGATTAAATATGAATTTAGTTAACCCTTTATAGGGTCAAAGACTTTGAAAATCAAAATTTAAATCCAATAGAGTTATTGGAATCCAGGACAAGACCTTATTACCTTTGGAACATTAAAAAAATATGGATATTTTGATTGCAAAAAATAATGTCAATGTAATAACAAGGAACGCCAACTTGCCCAAATATATTACGACAAAATAACAAAAGTGCTTCTATAAGAAATGCATGAAAAACACTCTGAGAGTGAAAGAAACACATTTTTTTGGTACAGCATAACCTTAGATGCATTAATGCTGATACTGGCACCTAAATTTTTTTGTTCATAAAACTAAATATAATTGTTAACTAGGCTTATTAACTTTTTAACATTTTACTTTTTAACTTTTCAATTAGCTTTAATTAGCTTTTTACCTTTTTTTCTTGACTTGTCAACTTTTTTCAGCTTAATATACAGTAGGTAATATATCATTCAAGGGCTCATCTAATTGGTCAAATGCCAAAATCAGATGTACAGCCATTTAGCAGCATCTTTGCTGAATGGCTGGATATAGATCTTGTGCTTCTAGACCTCACTGAGGGATGGAGGGACTCCATTTGTAGGGGGCATAAAAGTGATAAAACAAAATGGTAAATTGCCCTATAAATGGTTAAAGGCATTTTAGAAATTTGCACCAATCATGCTAACAGGTGTGCAGAGTGCAGTTTGTCAGGGTCAAATTAATCCCTCTGAAACTGATGAACCAAACTTAGCATTTTGCACCAAACGTTTCAGTTTCATCTGTTAATGGTTAACGTTTTAGTTGTGTGTTACAAAGGATTGCCTCAGAAAAATCCATGACTGAGTAGCTGAGGATATGTCACCGTTTCACACCATCTGCCATCGATTGTGAAAAATGCCAACAAATGAGATCATAACATAGCCTGAGCTCACTGAGCAATTAACGTCAAACTTCTTCATGCAGCTTTACAACCAAAATACGGCTCTTTTTTTCCTCCCCCTCTCACTTTCACATGATAGATTGTTGCTATGAGAGTTGTGAGACAGATCTCCACATTTTCTCTCTGTGAGAGAGAAAGCAGGTGAGTCACAGAGTTGGGAAGGTTCGGAAATAAGCCCCGCAGTCCAAGCTTATCAACAGCAAAAAAAGAGTGGGAGGAGGTATAAAGACACAAGCCCCAGAACGAACGGTAATGAGACGGAATGGAGATGATGAAGGATGAGCATATCCTGTCGCGGCTGCATGAACCTCCAATAACCTTCAAACCCCCCAATGGGCAGAGGATTTTATGAAACGGCGTGGGGTGGAACAAAGTGATAATTCTCCTGACTGTCACATAGAGAACATATTAGGAATGAATTATATAGTGTAAAAGAGAGAGTTTTGGACACGCTGTGGTATCTTTTGTCTAAATGTGAGCCTAACTATGACGTTTTTGGATAGAATTGTAATGAAAAATGTCTAGTTTTCTGGAATAGATAGAAATGTAGATTATTTCCATATATGGTGGGAACTAAAGATACAGGAAATACACTTTAATTTTTTCTAATTAACCACATGGTAAATAAAGTTAAAGCTACAAGTTTTAAATTAAAACAATAAATTTTTTTCTAAGATAAAACGTCCGCAGGACTAGAATGCTGCAGAAGATACATAAATATACAGTAACAGATGATAGCTATAACTTTAATACTTGAAACAATATGCATTTTCAGTGTCAAAAAGGAATCGAATGACTCAACTTGGGATGCTTTTGGATTTTAAAGTCAGATGCTAGACGCTGTTGAGTTGCTCTTCTCTTGTAATTTAAAGAGCCTGGCTTTATTTGCTTTGCTGAGTTGGAAAAAAGTTATTTTTACATGCCTTTTAGTGGAAAAGTCCACCTGAAAACATCATCTGGCTGTCAGTTCATCAGGATTATGATCATTCCTAAATATTCTGTTCTTGTTCTGGGAGTCCCCAGGGAAAGCTCTCTGAAGCTGGTTAGGCTGTCAAGGATTTCCTGCTCTCATTAATAGCGGTTGAAAATGAATACAATTTATTTTTTTTTTTAAGTTTGTCGTAAAAACTGCAAGATTTGTTTTTTACTTGCATGTTTTAACATTTTTAAATAATGTAGGTATTTGTAAACAGTTTCTCTACGGTTTAGTCAGAAAATGTTTTACTGAGGAAATACTAATTTACAATTTGGGAAAGCTGATGAATATTTATTTGATATTCTGATAACTGCTGGTAAAAAAGCACTCACAAGACGTTGGTTGGTCCCCGACCCACCCACAATACAAGAGTGGACATGTATCGTAAATGACATTTACCTTATGGAGAGGATCACCTTCTCCCTCCGTCTTCAGAAAAATATATTCACTAAGAGGTTGGCCAAGTGGGTTAAACACGCTGGTCTCGAACAAAGAGAAGTATGGAATAAATGACCTTGCAAAGCCTGTTATTCAATCTATGTTCTGTAGCATCTAAGGATTAATAAATTAATGTATCTCTCATACTTTATTTTAAAAACGCCTGGTATATGATTTACTCCTGCTTTTTCAGGTAGACCTGTCTTTCCCTGTTAGTTCAGAGTTGTTAGATGTAATTTCAGATGTAACTTGTATCTTTGTTTATATTTTGTTTGTAATTTTATATATACGAAAATGTATTGTGAGTGGCGGTAGTAACATTGTGTGTTCCCTGAAAGTAACTACCTTTGTATTGTATTGCTCTCACAAGAAAAAATGAAAAATGTCAAAAAAAAAGAAAAGAAAATGTTTTACTGGAGTAATAATGATCCGAGCTTGCTCTCTTTTCCTTGAATATAAAATACATTCAATTGTCATGGATTTTTAAAACTAGTGGAGTTTAACTTATTTTTATATATCGATACTTCATAGTTTTATCCTGACAGCTCGGAAGAACCAATCACGGTTCGCACTGAGCGTCCGTCTCTCAGAAAGCCCCTGAATCGGCTTATTGGTTTGGGTGTCCCTCAGGATCTGGGTGCAAAATTTCAGATTTAGTAGCACCATGGCAGACAGGCAGCAGCAAAAGCGTAAAAACCTTGAAAATCTGCAGGGCAAGATTACTTAAAGCTCTTGGAGGCCAGTCAACTATTGACTACAAGCAAACCATATGCCCTTAGAGCATGGGTCGAAACGCAGCTTAATTCCTCCTGGCCAGTAGGTGGCACCCACGTACTTGCACTCACCTGCTCTCTCTCCTTTCATTTGCCAGTGGGTTGCCAGGTCCACAAATGTTAACATTAACCTTACCCGTTTAAAAGGAAAGCGGCAACCTCTGTGTAGTTTCTCAATCCCTTAACTTCCTTAAAACGGACCCACACTGCAAAGCTTCGCCGATGTTTAACCTCACAAAGAGGAAGCTATTCCTCAGCTCCATCATAGAGCCACTAGGATCTAACAACACCTCAGCTCTCTCTCATGTGACTTTAGACTACTTTTCTAATTGTTACAGAATCCTTTTGTTGAACTGGAATCATAACCAGATGCTAATATTTATATAGTTTAGACCGATTAAATTTTATAAAACAGTTATTATTATGCTAGTTATTCTGCTAGCTTAGCATTGCAGGGCTTAGGGCGGACATTCCGACACAGCCCAACAGTCCTCTGATGCTGTGTATTCGATTAAACTCTGAAAACTTTGAACAACAAGGCTCTAAAAATAGCAACAGATCCATGTAATGATTAAATGGAAAAGTCAAAAAGGTGAATTGATCTGTAGTGAATGGCTTTAAGGAGCATAACAGAGTCAGTGGAAACTATAGGGAACTGATCAGATAACTACTGATATGATGGAAAAATTCTTAAAAACAAAAGCTCTTAGGTACTAAAGCATTATGGGGCTGTCTCCTGCTCTGTGATTGGTCCGGTCTAAAGTACTGAGCCGCACCAGGATGACTTACATCCCACATAAGTCGTGAGTCAGGCCAGTTTAGGGAAATATGTTTTTAAAGCACTGCGTTTCTTACAATTCCACAGAAAATATCTTAAATGTATAATTTTTACACCAACCTTTTTAGAACACTACTGCTTATTACCCAACTGTATGGTAATACATTTGTGAAAAAGGGAAAACTAACCTTACGGTCTTCCTTAAAGAGCTCTGCTGCTGTGGTGAAGTGAGGGACAGCGTTTTTACAGTGCGGACACCCTGAAAGAAATCAGGTAGCATGTTATTACATCTTACACCTATCGATATGTAGATCTTATTAAGAATTAAGGCTAAAACTGAAAATTAAGCTGGAATTGCAGTCAGATACACCAACATGTTCACAAGCATGTATTTTCCATAATAATAGTACATCGTCTGCTGAATAAAAACACTCTTCACAACTGGCAAAAAATAAAAATAAATACTACCTCTCTTACTACATACTCCATTAGATCTTCATAGATACTGCTAAACGTACAGTCAGTTACACTTGCAATGTAAGACATACCATAAATATAAATAACAAAATAGATAAAAGCATTTTTTATTCCAGCAGCAAAATTCAAACCTGGTGTGTTTTTGAATCAGATTGTTTGTTCATAATACATCTTCGCCCTTCAGCTTCCACTGAAGCTTGACATTCTGTATGCGCGGCTCATTTGTTTGGTTCTCTTGTTGTTAATGTCAAGTGCCCAGTTCTTCCATTCTGTTCATTATCATCAAACTGCCACAAAAGTTAAAGGTGAAATAAAAGCAGAAACACATCTTGAGGAGAGTGTTATATATGTCAACAAGCAGTTTGGCATAAAAGCTTTTATGCACAGAGGTAAGTGTATATTTCTAAAGTAGACAGCACATCAAAAGAGGCATTTTGAGTTTGTTTTTTTTTTCCCCTCAAACTTATAGTACAGTATACACTTTACTGCTTTTAATTATAAAGACCAAATATTTCCTTGCGCGCCATTTGATATTTTTCTATTACTGATTTAATACACATGATAATTCTGTTTTTTAAGAGATATAACTGGTTAAAGGGGAACACCGTTTTTTTTTTTTACATTGCTCCCTTGATTTTACGTTATTACATCATGTTCTACTCACCCATATGAGTTTTGTGTCATTTGGAGCCGTTCTGAAGATATTATTATTATTGGTATTATTATTATTATTTTTTTTAAACAAATGGGAGTGTGTATGACGTCATCCGGGTGCCGGTCTGGTAGGCAGCCCGGGCCACAGGTGGCTACGCTCTACCCCTTCTATTTGTTCGGCTAGCTAATCTGAATCGTTCAATTCCATTTGGAGAGCGAGATCATCTGTGGTAGTAGCACTAGACATCTTCCAGGCATGTGAGTAAAACTAGCTGCAGTTCAGCAGACAGGATGAATGAACGGTAGCCGGCGAGCATGGATGACATCATACACACTCTGCTTTGTTTAAAAAATATATAAATATAAAAAATATAACCGCAGATGTCTGGGGGACAGTGCTTCGCCTACATGTTATGAATGCTGGCGTACCATAAAGAATGAATTATGAACAGTTTGTGCCTTCAACTCATTGCCAATAGGAAGAAGTTACTTGGATATAACAAAACCGAATATCTTCGGAACAGCTCCAAATGACACAAAACTAATATGGGTGAGTAGAATATGATGTATTAACGTAAAGTCATGGGGCCAATGTAAAAAAAATGGTGTTCCCCTTTAATCATGCCCACAGTGGTCATTAAAAGGCACAAGGACTGGATGTATGTTTTGTGAGATGTCAAAGAGCATCACGTGAAACTTCCGTAAATTGGTTTAGCCTCTCTAATGTCCGGCTGTGCACCTTTCGCAGGGTCAGCAGTAAGAACTCTATCCAGGATAGGAAAGGAACTTCGGATTGGTGTGCTGAATCCAGACAGGTTTCAGCCTTACTGATGTCATTAGGCAGTGAACACATATCAATGACGCTGGTCAAATTGGGACATCATTTCCAATATAAAGCCCAAAACATATTTGCATTAGTCAGAGACAGTACACTCTACAAAACAATTTATTTTTGCTAAACTCCGTGAGTGGGCCATAGCTATATGGTCAATCATGTAGAGTATTGTAGGTTCCTGTGTAGCTCCTAGCTGCGGCCAGGGATGTCAGGAGGTCCCAATGCCGAATGAATTGGCCATAGGAAGCATACTGCTTCCTTGTCCTTAGGGACTTCTTAACTGCCAGCACTTTTCGGGCTTATTAAGGCGACCGCTTACACACATTGCGACTTAAGTGAAGTGTTGCACCGATACAGACACCAGTATCACGCGGGGCCCCGATCCAGCACTAAAATAGTGCTATCGGCGAGTACCAACAAATAGGGCAACAATGCCATTTTGAGAGCCAAAAGTTAATGCACTTATTGTCACCCATTCCAGGTAGGCAATAAAAAGTTCTACTGGATTCACTTTGTATTAGTCTTTTTCCATCCTTCACAAAGGTAGGCAGCAGCTTCACAAAGCCGAGATGGCAATTATTTTACATCCAAGTAGTATGCAGTTTTTAATATATACGCACACGCATCAATTTCAAACAGATGGTATCGGTATCGGCCAATACTGCACAGCCAGGTTTCGGGTATCCGTATCAAGGCCAAAAAAATGGCATCGGCACAACACCACTTAAGTGTTGTTATGAATATGGGGTATTCAGTTCGAGGTAACATCACCCGTACCTCCTCTATTCTGTCTCAAACAGAAGTTTAGACTTTAGAATTTTGTTATTTTAAGAAAATGGAGCAATTTCTAATCCAGCAGTCAAGAAGCCAAGTTTACAAGTGAATGGAAGGTACATCTCCGCATCACCTTGGATGAACAAAGCAATCTGATGCATCATGCTGTACTAATGTGGTTAGAATGTGTTTTTTTTTCCGTCTGTGAGCCTCAGAGCACCTGTGGCTACAATGTAGCTTAACATCAGTGAGTGTGTCTGTGTTCATGGTTGAATATAATGTAAAGCACTTTGGTCAAGTCTCCTGACTGGGGAAAAATAAGCGCAATATAAGTACAGGCCAGTTACAATTTTTCATTTTTAACATTAAGAAATAAACATAAAAGGTTTATAAATATTTTTGCAAACATGTACTAATGAATAAAAAAAGTGCATTCCCTTTTAAATAAAGCAACATTTTTTGATGACGCCTGTAAAATCTACATCAGACTACATACATTTCTTTAATGTATGTAGAAAATGTGTTTCTAGTCCAGTTCAATATTGGAGCTAAATTTCTGCTCTGTTACAGAGTTATGTCCAAAACGAGGAATAAATTGTTTAGTTTGCCTGTTTAAGAGCAGAATGCTGATGCCAGCTATCAAAGACTATTAAAAGGATTTACTACGCCTTGATAATACAGGCATTAATATCGATTACATGAGCATGATAATATTGAATAGGAGCATCATCTTTCTTGTTGTGGTTCATAAAGATTTAAAACAAACACTTCTGGGGCTTTTTTTGTGTTGTTTTTAGTTGAATAGAGCCATAAAGTTACTTGAACAGCCTTGATTACCTTATGAGCATCAATAAATGCTGGATATTGACCTTTAAGTAAGTTATATTTCTGCTTCCTTGGGAAAGCATAAAGTAACAGAGAACTTCTACTTTTAAATGCTGCTATTTAAGCCAAACTCCAAGGCCTTTCTGTTGTCAGTTTATTTAGGTTTTATCTATTCCTCAGTTACAGTGGCTTCTCCTTTAATTGCTCTGTTTGCTCTCCAGAAGGTTAAGTTTAAGAATGAGGGACTAATTAAGCCACAAGCAGTATTGTTTTTTGGAAGAAAAGCTCTGTGCAAAGCATTCTGGTCACTAAACGTACAATGGACCATGAAAATAATCTACTGAAAAAGCAAACAGTTGCTCATAGATCCAGCTCCATCAATGCTACACTTAAATCTATAGTTCACTCTCAAGCTAAGCAGAGCGCATTCATTTTTTGGCCTCAATAATTAACAGGTCTGTCTAGACCTCAGACAGCTCCTCTCTGAAATAAAGGACCCATTCTGTACCCCATTTATACATTAAGATAAGGCTTTTGTTCCATTTGCCAAATAATCATTAGGGACCATCTGTTTAGAAAAAGGTAGGCTGGTTTTAATTAAAACCCTTTGATTCATTAAATGTAAAAGATATTTGCAAACAGCTTTGCTTGCACCTCTGTAGACAGCCAGCATTAAAATAAAATAAAAAAATAAGGAAGCATAGGCTAATTATGATGATGGAATATGCAGGAAAGGAGTGCTTTAAAAATATAAGCTTCCATTATCACCTTTTAGATATTTTTACACAAGAACCTTTAGTGTGAGAAGGCTGTTCACTGCAATAGCTAGAAAAAACCCTCCTGCAGGTAACGGCTTGCTGATCTGTTATGTTTCCTGCTATTAAAGAACATATGCATCATTTTATGATTATAGTTCTGACTTTGAACTCTGCTTCCGGATCTTTTTTTAATTTGAAGTCCAATGTGCAGTTCAAGAGTGTAACAATTTGAGGGGTTTTTGTTACCTAAAGTTATAATTTCATATAATAATTATCCTTGGCACCAATCTAGTGTGAGGAATCTCTGAATACTATATATGGTTTCTTACATTGCAGCTTAGAGAGGAGTTTTTAAATGCAAAATTGTAGTATTGTAATTTTTATTTATCTTATGATTAATTGTTCAAGGTATAGAGGAGGATTTTAGTGAATTATTGAAAAGACCCACCCTCTCCACTTAAAAAAAAATGCACATTCACAACCCTGTATCCGCCCCAGAGAGGAACACATATTAAACGTGTGTGAGAGGACGCTCTGCTTTAAAAGTTGCTGTTCTTATAGCTCATACAAGCTTACGGTGTCCGAACGTCTGCTCTAACCCCTAAATCCCTCAATCACTGTATAGAGCGGGGACTATATGGTGGACTTTATAGTGAACTCAGTTAACTGATCGTTCGGACAGATGATCACTTACCCGTTGGTCACGTAACTCCTCCTCGACTGGGCGTACTTGCGCCATCTTTGTTAGTAGTCGACAGTATATTACCTAATGCTTTGCGAGGAGAGCTCTCCGTGTAAATCACTCTGGGATATATCTGCCTCATCTGAAGTCTTTTTCCATCATACATTTCGTGGCCAGTTTTTCTCTGACGACCCTCGGCCATTTTCAAAGAACGGCGGTGAGAAAAGTGAGCTTCAATGACTGTTTGAAACCGTAGCTCACCACACATATGTGGCTGAACATGTGCATGCGCAAAGAAAGATGGCTAACAGGACGAGCATGTAGGACGACGTTATATAAACATACCACCAAAATGACTGACAATTGGGAGGACCCCTTATTTAGATGATCGTACCGGAAATAAAACATCATCCTCTATATCTTTAAAGACACTACAAGATATTAGTGCAATTTTACCCACAATTATTCTTTTTCTTTTTTCTTTGAGCTGGTTAATGACTGTCTGCACTGTTGATTCTATGTTGAAGTGCAAATAAGTCTGTGAATGTAAAATAGGAAATGAGCCGACCTTAGTCGCTGTTAACTAGACATTTAATTTGTTTGAGCTTTAAGTGTGGAGAGGACAGGATTTTAATCAAACCATGAAGTTGTTCTGCCTGATTTTTTTATTTGTTTATTTGCCAAGCCATTTGAATTTAAATAAATTCCAAAGGGACTTATTAAAATAAACCAAAAGTTTTACTTTTTGAACTTGATATTTGCACATAAGAAGAAAAAACAGCATCACCAAAATGTCACAGAGACAAGTGAGTTTAGTAAGGAAGTCAATAAAGCTAATTTCATTACAGCTTTCTAGGACCTCACTGCCTAACACTAATAGTCAATTGTCTCATGCACAAGTAGAACATATGAGATTCTTCCACATAGAGCTGAGAGCTCTGTTTCCTTCAACATTTCCAATCTTGTTCCTAGATAGAAGCTGCATTTCATCTAGACCTCAATATATAGAGGGCTGTGAACTAATCAGAAGCCAGTGAGCGAGGTGCAGGTGGTGTGGGCGGGCAGGGATGACAGGACATTGATGACCATCTTGACTCTTCCTTTGTAGAAGTTAACAGCAAAGTTACCTGACCAGCGCAGTCCTTCAGAGTTTTAAGCCCAAATCCGAAACAAAGGGCGACATAAATTAAAGTTTGACGGTATCATGTGTTTGAAAGAGGATTTTAACAACGGTTGTATTATTATGACGGTGTCTCTGTCTTCTGCTTTATTAATTAAATTATAAAATTGGGGTTTAGAAACTGCTTTTTATTGACTGCATTGTGATTTTAGGGGAAAAGAACAGAAAACGTGTAATGCCGAGAGGCTCAGCTGTCAGACCGAGGTTGGGTTCAGTCAGGCTCATGGCCAGAATCTGATTTTGCGTCTAATCTGACAGAAAGTCGTGTTGGACGAGGTTTTGGCGTTTAGCGTTCATTGATAGTCAATGGGGATGATCACACTCAACACGATTTTATGCAAGAGGGCTTTCGTAGGTCCGACTGAGATAAACCCCAGGTCTATTTTAGTCTAGCTAAGCAGCAATTCAGCAGCAATTTCCTGGATCTGACAGGAAGAGGGACGCGGTTACAAAGTAAAACACATCCGCTTTGGGGGAAAATACAAAAATAAAATCTGTTAATCGCATGGGGAACGAGTCAGTTTTGGAGTCACACATCGTCTATATAGCAAGTGGGGCAGACTCACATTAAATAATTTAAACATTAAAAAAAGAATACTTTACCCATGATAGGAGTTGAGGATGACAAAAAACAGATAAAATAGTGATAATCTTTAAGCCTCACAATAAAACAAAATAAAGAGGGGCAGAAAAAGCAGGTAAACGTGACGTATCACTCTCCCCTCTTTATATAAAAAGAAAGAAAAATTTCCATAAAGTTCCCAGATCTCTCTCTGAGAATCACCTCTCACTGACTCAGTCATCATATAAACAGTGTTTATTGCTATGTTTTTCTTTTCTTTAGCCTTAGATCTCATTATGTTTTTATTAGTGTTGCGCCGATGCCAGTTTTTGGCCCCGATACTGATACCCGATGGGTATGACTGTGTAGTATCAGCCGATACTGATACATACCGATTACATCTGTTTGACATTGATGTTTGTGTGTATATATGACGAACTGCATACTACTTAGATGTAAAATAATTGCCATCATAGCTTTGTCAAGCTGCTGCCTACCTTTGTGAAGCAGGAAAAAGACTAATACAAAGTGAATCCAGTAGAACTTTTTATTGCCTACCAGGAATGGGTGCCAATAGTTGAATAAACTTTTGGCTCTCAGAATGGTATCGGTGCCCCATTTGTTGGTACTCTCTGATACCGATGCCACCATTTTACTGCTGGATCAGGGCCCCTCCTGATACTGGTATCGGTACAACACTAGTTTTTACTATAGGAAAGAGAACATTATCTTCTCTGGTTTGAGATTAAGCGCAGACTCCTTAAGTGAGGCTTTGGTTTATAGAAAGTTTTACCCTAAACCTTTTCAATAACTTTTCATAATCTGTCATGGTCAAATCTTGAAATTTGTTTTAATATAGAAGTGAAAAAAATCTGTGCAGCTCTGCCCACCCTGCCTCGTGGCAGATTAAAGACAAGATTAAAAGGTCATACGCAACCAGTGTTTTCAGGCCTTCATGGGGAATTTCTATAAATATGGAAAAGGACAAATCTCCCAGCAGCTCTGACAATGAAACAATAAAAATAAATTTTTTCCTTTTTTTTTTTTTGCAGAATCTAATCTTATCTGAAAAAAAGTTAGAAAACTCTTTAAATTGAATCCCTTTATTTAGAGGAAAAAATGCCTTGTGTGATGTATTGACAAATAAAGCTCCATTCATTTCTTAGCTGTTTAAAAGAATAATTGCCAAAGAAGATTTTGAGCGGTGCTTTCTAAAGCACGTATTAAAAGGCACCTTTTTGAAGTTCTGAATCATGAAATCTATTCTCAGAGATGTGAGTCATCCCTTGTCCTCCCTGTAGATTAGGTGGAGATGATGTATATTATGCAATGAGGAGCTGGTCTGAGATACATATGCACTCCGCTTTAAAAGCAGAGTATGATCACATCAAGTTCAACAAAACAGAGCTGGGATATAAGCCAATATTTTGATAAAATATAAACGTCTAAATATCAGATTCCAAAAGACTTTTCAAAGCTTTCATTCTGATACATGTTCATGTCTAAAAGCATCATCTATAAAAGTAACTAAGATGTCAAAACAACAAAAAAGGATAAATGAAAGTCTTACAAGGAGCATAGAACATGACCAAAGCGTGCTTCTTCTTCTTCAGAGCTTCTCTGAAATCCTCTGAACCAAGATGGTTGACACTGGAGGGTTTGTCCTCCCAGGACTGCTCTGGTGGTGGAGGTGCCTGGGGACTGCAGGGAGAAAAGATGCTCAATACAAACTACCATAACAGAGATAATCCAAAGATTAGTGGCAGAAAAAGTATTTGCCCCTTTAGTGATTTCTTCAGTTTTTGGTTATTTATCTAGACTTTAATCTTCAGGATCATCAAACATATTCTAATATTAGACTAAAGATTATCTATGTTGTAAAAAATGTGTTCAAACAATACAAATAATCTCATCTAGCATTTGTACTGACTGACATTAAGTGTTACCTCAGCAAGGAGAATCTTTTTACATAGTTGGCTTATTTATTATGAAGGGCCTGTTTAGGGGATTCTAAACCATTCATTTTTGTCCTTATGCAGAGGCAGAGCTGCATTTCCATAACAAATGTGCTCAAAACTATGATGATATTCTGCTAATTTAGAAGATGCAAATTATCTCAATTGCAACATTTTCCATTAAATGGTAAAAACAATTACAAATTGCACATGAGTGTATTCACAACATAGCAGTGGCCAATGTAAACATATGGGATAGATCCAAATTTTAGCCACAGCTCTAGTGGGCACTGTCATCCTCTACTTCCTGCCTTCTTCTTCATCTTTTTCAGGCAGTAATAGTACAGATCATGTGACTCGTGTGATGCCAAAAAGTGTGAAATACAACACTTTCCATAGGACCGGAAAAACCTAATCAATGCGTAAAAACTTTTGATAGAATTGCAGTGTTTCCATTTAGCAATTTTTTTTCCTAATTACAATTGTATTTGTTTATTTTCCACCAGATGCTTTTTGTTTTGACTTTGTGCTCTGCTTGGCCAGTGGGTGTTTTCACCTTCAAACTTTCCTATCAAAGCATTTTTTCCTCTCACAATGTTGAATCATAAACTATAAACCTTCATTGACGGACGTGAAGACCGAAGGTTTTTAAGCAATGTTTGGATTGTTTGTTGATTTCCTGGAAGACTCTAAGACAACTTGAAGTAAATTTGGAAAGGCTCACCACAGCTCTGTGTTTTCACTATTATGGGATAATTACAGCTAAGGTTCATCTAAAAGAAATGTCCCTAAACACTTTCTTCAAGGACCGAAATTGATTTTTCTTTACACTTGAGCATGATCTACCGTTTTGTTAATCATTCTTACCTACTTCCTTTCCAGGTCCTTGACTGGCAACCAAATTGACACATTTATGATTCAAAAAGTTAAGTTAGAGGGCCAGGTTGGATAACTTTCATCCAGTTAACTAATATAATGGTGATTTAAAAAATTATATATTTTTTTCAGATAATATATTGATTCAATGACCTGAAATATTTAAATGTAGAAAATAAAAACAGAAGCAATCCTTAATGAGTAAAAAGTAGTTTTTTAGAGCACTCTCTATGGCTGTAGCCAAAGGTGTTTAGTTGTGAATTAACTTACAATATATCTATTAATTAAACATGTTTTCATTTGACAACTTATACATCTATCAACGATAATCAATTTCCTTCTAATCTAAGACTATTTTCCTCCAAAGGCTCATTAAATGTGTAGGAGGTGCACGTCTTAAAACTTTATGTCAATAAGCATGTGAAGAAAGATGCATCAAAGAGAATTATTGCAGCACATTTCACATTGACCCCTGAAGGCTGAACTCTAAGCAAGGTGAAGAACCGATGTCTCGCTAAGTGTGTAAAACCAGCAACTCACTTGTGCATGAACTCGATGATCTTGTCTTTGGTTCGGAGGTGTGGGAGTGTGTACTTTTCCTCGCCTTTTTCGAAATACTTTACGGTGGGGAAACCGGAGATCTTGAAGCGATCTCCCACAGCCTTGTGCACCGTGGCATCGACTGCTGCAAGCACGCCTGGACTCTGTGGGGGGGGGGATTTAACAGAGTTAAACCTAAATTCGTGAACAATTGTTCCAGTAGACTAATAAGCAGAACTAGTGGATAAGGAGTGGGCACCAGTAACTACATAGGTCACATATCGTTCTTTATTTTTAAAAATCATCTAATAAAATGAATAATCGGATCGCTTTATTTAAGAATTTTATACTCAAAATACAAATGCTTGAATATTTTTATCATAGGCCGTTTTGTTTCAGTTCATTTACTCGTTCATCATTCCCTGAAATATTCTCCAAGTTAACATCAGTCCTTCATCTCTTTGGTTTTCCTACTTTCTTCATCACCTTTTATATGCAGTAAAAATGTCCTTTTTAGGTATTTCATACAAAAATATACAAGTTTACCTGAACCATAGAAGAGTTATTTTTCCTATGCCGAAACTGTTTTCAAATAAATTTAAAATATGAGCTGCCTGGATGATCCTGATGGGATTGGAAGTAGTCAAACCTCCAACGACATCAAATCTGTGTAAGAGTTGACCCTGAATTAGGACCCTCTACCACTTAGAAATAATTCAAAGAAGTTTTTTTTTTGTTATACTCACGTTTTGTTATTTTCCCTCATATTTTCTACATTTCCCACACTGTGCAGGTTTGTACAACATGGAGGCCTCTTGTCCGTTCATTAATGATTTCAGCTAATATGATATTTTATGCTTTCTGTGTTTTTCAATGTTTTCATTCACCTATACACACACAGATCTTAAAACCCCCATTAAGATTATCCCAGATCAAACTAGCTTAAAACGATCAGCTCTTCTGGCCATCCATAAAAAATTCCCAGAAGCCAGCTGGTTGTTAAAATAAACAAACCTGTACAACATCTCTCTAAAGTTTGGGATCCTTATGTCATGTAGCCTCAAAGACTCATAACTTTACTTCCTGCAGTATCTCAGAAAAGGATCATTTTTTTACATTTTAAATGAGGGGAATGTTCAGTTCAGCTGCTCTTTGAAGGCTGGGAAGGTCTGATGGAGAACATTTAAGAAACAGCATCATGTAGATCAATGAACACAGCAGACGGGGTATTAAAGAAATAAAACAGCCATGCTTTAAACATTTCATATACTGCAGCTTTGTTCAATGACTATAAAAAACAACCATTTAAACTAAACTGACAGACAATGAGAGTGTTAACCTGAGCTGCAGCCAAGAGGCCAATAATAGCTGCAAAGATTCACAGAGGCGATGGTGGCTTTAGCTACAATGGAGTTTGTCACCATCAGCGTGGGAAGGTGTGTGAATGAGAGAACGACTGAACGAAGCGCTTTGGGGCCTTTTACTAGATAAAGGACTATACCACAACAGATTATTCACCTTTTACTGTACAGCTGGGAAGATCTGTAAACAGAGCAACTGTTGCAGCAGAAATGCATTCTACTAATTTGCCTTCATGGGAAAATGGAAGCAAAAATGGAACCTGTTTGAAGTTTGTAAAAACCGAAAGTTGAAACTTTAGCCCTGTTTGAGCTTGAAAAGGATTGTACAAAATAAATGGTCTAAAGTTCCAGACTCCAGGTGTGGAAAGGTGATAGGGCCCCAAAAAGCTGCAGTCGGAGGAAAAATGTGTTTCTGCAAAGCACTTCCTCAGAGAGCCGACGATAAAAGCGCACCCTCTTTTAAAGAAGTATCACTGAAACTTAAAAAAAATGAATAAATCCAACATAAAGGAAACTAAAATTCATTCAAGTTTTTGGAAAGATTAAATTGGTATATTGATGGTGGCTTGTTAAGGTTCTGATGGGGGTGAGTAGAAAATGAAGGCTAATCATGTTTTGGGTGTACTATTCCTTTAAATTATAATACAACCTAATGCAAGGGAACAACCGTAGCAAAGCGTGGAAATAAAACACAAAAACTTAGCAGTATGCAAGATTCTAGGAACTCAGGGACACAGCAAGTCGTCTGCATCAATATTGGATAATAGCCAGCAATTTGGTCTTGACCTCCAGGGCTAAGCTGAGAGCCACAAGGACAAAGACGGAGCACTGGCCAGCAGAAAGCTGGGATGATGAGGTAACTGCTGCAGTCAACAGGCTGGACTTCTGTAGGTTTGGGAGTGTGAACTTAACACAGAGAACATTGGAAAAGAGAGCAGGGAGAACCACACCCGGCTAATCAGAAACATCGGGAACTGGGCTGCAGCACAGAATCCCCAACATGTCGCCAACAACTACAGGCAAAGGATGTGGGACTATCAACATTTTTATCATAGGGCACAGCTGCATCTTATACATTTAATATTAAACAGAATTATTTAATATTAAATATTAAACAAGCACAGCTCACGTGTAAAAAAATAAACTCCAGAAACTTACGTCTGCAGCTTTGTTGAGTACTTCAGCAGCGTCGTCATACTCTGGCTTCATTTTCTTGCAGTGGCCACACCCTAAAGAGTCCAAAAACACGTCTTACAGCCAAACAGATGGGTTTTTAAAGACTTTTTGTAATATGGATACTTAAAATGACTGTAAATAAAACTGCAAAAGATATGCACCCATATTAAATAAATCTCACAAAAGAATAACAAATCAATTTAATTTCACTGCAGGGAGGACAGGGGTGGGGGGGGGGGTGGGGGGGCTGAGACAACTACTCACCATGAGGGGAAAAGTCAACTCTGATAACCTTGTTGCACTATGGAATATGGATGTAAATATGAACGGATAATCGTGACAAACTAAATAGAATGTATTGCTCAGACCTTGTCCTTTATCATTATGGAAAAGCATTGGGGGGGGGGTGACAGTGACACTCTCAGTTACAGCTAGATTTATGGAAAAGCTAAGAATGTCTGAAGAAGCTTCTGTCAGTCATGGCAGACCGACAGCATGACAGATGCCTTAATCTGAGAAGCCTGCTGTTGCCGGGGCCTCGGCCCTTCAATCTGTCCATTAAATCAAGTTTACGACTTCACCTGCGTGATGACAGGGAGCGCCACTCAGTGCATCGCCTGTTAACAAACATGAAGCGGGAATTCATAATTAAAAGTAGAGGAGCTTTATTTTTTTATAGCACCGCTCCAGCCATAACAAGCAGCCATAAATCAAACAGACACAAGCAGAAATATTCAACCCGCTTACTTCAACACAATGTAAAGACGTGGATGGAAGATAATGACAATAAATTGCTATAAATCTATTTTATCTGAGACGTTTGTAAAAACAAAGTTGAGTTTACTAAGAAGATGAAAAGTGAACGGTGCAGCATTAGAGTGTAAAAATGATATATAATAATAAGATGATATATAATAGAGCTATAAAAATCTTAGATAAAAAACCAATCAGGTCCCATCACTGTGTTAGTCTGAACAATTTAAAAATGCTACATTTTGAGAACTTTGTCAAATTTGCTCAGTTAAAACTGGTTTAACTGAGCAAATTTCCTTCGGACATTTGGACAATCAGCTTTCACTGTACAAGGCACCAATAATGGAATACATTACCTGCAGAACTGAAGGTCCTTTTTAAACATAAACATAAGACTTTTTATTGAGAGGTCAGACATGTGAACATGAATAATCCAACTGACCTGATCTTGTATCTGTGATGTTTTAGTGTGTAATTTGTTCTGTTGCGCCTTGTTGTACAGTTTCTGTGTTTTGTGTGAAAGCCTAACTGGGGACAGACATTGAGAATTAGCCTTAGCTAAAATGTTGTAGTGTGTGACATGATTCATGAATTATACTTGTCCCTATCAAATAAACAAATAAATATATAAAAATAAAGAACACCTTCAATAAAAAGTTGCAGTTATGCTGCTCAGCAAACTACTTATCAAGACAGCTGTTTAAAAAAACAAAAATCAGGCTGATAATAACAGAGAGAGGAACGCATATGAAATAGGCCTTATCGTATACTATAGGGCTGCCAGTAACGATTGTTTTGCTAGTCGATTAATCTGTTGATTATTTTTTTCGATTAATAGATTATTTAGATAATAATTAGATAGCAAAAGGTTCCTTACAGAAGATTTTTTTGTGTGAAATTAAACAAGACAAAAGAAAAAGATTTACATCTTAAATGCAAAATTTTTACATTTATTTTTTTACAATCTTGGTATAATTCCTGTTCTAAATTAGTCGCCCTGTTAGCTGAAGGCTGTTTTAAAGTCTCTAAACTCCAGTCAACATAAGATTACTAAACTAGTTGAGAATTACTTCAATAATCAATTAAAGCTACAGTGTGTAATAATTACAGGGATATACAGTCAGAAATTTAATATATTATACATAACTATGTTATTTATCATCATCTACGAGCTCAGCCTCTTAACCTTAATATTTGCGTTGCCTTAGAATTCGTTATTTATAATTACATAGGAGCGGGTCTCGCAGCCATGGAGGCAGACATCTTTGCGCTACGGCAGCGCAGAGCCAACAAACTAGCGATTGCGAGATCGCCCATTACGCTCGAAAGTAACTACGGCAAGTTGAGAGAGATGAACCGAGATGGTACTGAACAATTGATGGCAGTATTATGCCTGAGAATACTATCTGTAAAATTATCTATGTAAACAAACCTCATCACTTGAGAAGGTAGGTGATGCGGACGTCGTGGAAGACATTTTGTCCCGTAACGCTCGCCGTACTGTTCGGGGGGAGAAGCGGTGGGGGGAGATGTTCATGTTGCTGCGGTCTGCAGTCTGAACGTTAGATGTCGCTAAAAATTACACACTGTAGCTTTAACTACAATTAATCTTATTGAATGTTTCAGCCCTAGTATACTAATATCATTTGTTTTAGCCCCAAAATGAGATGAGACTGAAGCTTCTGTTGCTTTTAGTCCTTTACACGCTGCTGGTTAGTTTGCTGAAGCAACGCTCCACCCGTTTCCCCCCTGGCCTATATATAAAGCAAAACACTGGTTTGAGCTGAAAAAGCTAAGTTAGCCATTATAGAATATATGTAATTTGTGTTACTTCACAAAGATTTAAAGAAAGAGGTGTACATTTGAAAGATACAAGTTATTTGTGGTGTTTCTTTCTATGTTCTTTATCACATATAAATAAAATTTTCAACATTTATTTCATTTTGGCAAAAGTAAGAACAATTGTTGGTTTGATAAAAGCAGATATATTTTGTTATTCACTCAATGTTTACGTTTATTATGTTACCGAAATTTAAAACAACATGCTTTAAAAGCAAAGTGTTTTTACTTAATTTTATTGCCCCAAAGGAAACAAATTTCAGCCGAAGTTTAACAGGAAAAACATTCAACAAATGAGGAACAATAAAACTAATTTTCTCATCTCCATCATGGTTATTTCTTTTCTAATAGGTCTTGGCTGTGAAATTTTCTTTGGTTAATGAGAAAACAGTGAGTAGAGTCTCCACACTTGCCAGTTTATGAGGAATATCTTGTTAGGATCAGATGTGATTCCAGTTTCCCATTAGAACTGCCTTAGATCTTTGCTGAATAGAACAAACACGGTATCAGAAACATCTGTCAGAGATTTTGCTCCAGATTACAATATCCAAGGTGCTCTATTAGCGTAGATTGATATCCGGTGTAGTAGAGGATAGTAAATTAAGGAAAACTCTCTTTGCCAAGAAAATAGTCCTCAGCAGCTGAGCTGAGGGTAAAGGCCGGATGGATCTATGCTGATTGCACACTTTTTAAACAGAGTGAAGTTTTTCTGGTCTGTTTTTTGAGCTGAAACAATAATCAGATTTATTCATTATTGATTCCTAAAATTATTTTCAATTAATGTAGTGATTGAATAATGGTTAACTAGAGTGTAAAGACTCTAAAACACAACCTGCTGAAGGCACAAAGCAGTGTCCGCATTGATTGAGCCAAAAATGTAAAAGGTAGGATTTTACATTTAAGGATGAAAAAGCTTTTTCTGAAAAAAAAAAAACTGCGCCTCCAAAACTCCTCAAGTCTTATTTAAACGCATTAACTGAATTTTTCAGTTAATCCACTTTTCACAATGAATTTCAAATGTGCAATCAATGCTTTTCTTCAAACACGGGTTTATTGAGCAACGTTTTAGAAAAACACTTTTTTAATATATATTTAGAAAAATCAATTGCTAAATAAAATAACGGATAGCTGCAGCCCTAGTCTGTTTTTACCTTAAAGGAATAGTGAAGGATTTTTGCAATTTTTTTTTAAAAACCCGCACTCTCCACTTTAAATGCACAACCCTGTAGCTGCTGCTGAGATGAAAAGTCTATTAAACACATGCAAAGCATGCACAACCTCATTTCTCCTCGTGCACATTCTGTTTAAAAGTTGCTGTTTGCATCGCTCCCACAAGCTTACTTTCCAAAAGATTTGCAATTTTTCCACTATGCCAGACTCACCAACGGTAAGTAAAATGAGGACGAGCACGTACGACGGCCTTATGTTAACATGTCACCGGAATGATTGACAATTAGGAGGATCACTTATTTTGATGATTCACCCAGAAAATGAACATCTTCCACTACATCTTTAAGGTAAACTGGCTCATCTGAGCAGATTTTTCTATGTATCCCATTGGCTTTAAAGTTATGCAATTTTTTTATTTATAAAGAGTATTCAGCCCAGTTTAATTGTAACAAGGACCCGTGGGAGACGTGCAGCCAACATGTTTTTCAATAAAAAGACATTTTTTAATATATAAGAGAAGGTCTTTGTTCTTTTAACGCTCAGAGCTGCCGCAGAAAGAACAAAAACACATTTCGTACTTTTTTAAACATGTTAAATTGCCCTTGTCATAACGGTTCAGGAAGTTCTTTCTTCAGTATAATAAGCAGAGCTGGTGCGCGCAATAAATCAGGAATTAATACACGCTGTGGGAAATAAAAGTTGTGTCCCTTTAAACTAAGCCTATGACGTTTGTGACTGCAGAGCTTGTCGAGGGTTAGCGGAGATGCAAAGTGATTTTTTTTCTTCCCGTCCCTTTCAAAGTGACGAGTGAGAGAGAAAACTAAATGTCCGTCCTTTGCTCTGTTTAATTCCTGCCATGCATTCAGAACAACCCCTGCATGAGGGTCAGTGCTCTGCAGCATATACAGGAATACTGGAGATGGCTGATTCAGAGTTTAATTTAAATTGTTTAGAGTCTAAAGAATAAACATGCAAACTGTATTAAAATGGAAAAGGTGAAATTTTTTAGTTTTCTATAAAAAAATTGATGCTGAGGTATCGTCATTCAGAATTGGTCTTAAAAGGAGGCACAATGACACAGGTTTACCAGATGGTGGTAAAACATTAACAGGTCAAAATTAAACTTCATTAGCTATGAAACAACATTCTGTTTTCAATGGCCTTGGCAGAGAGAAACGGTTGTTTTGCTCCAGGACACAATGACCCGGCCTCACTCTGGGAAACGGTGAACTGAATTGGAGGTTTGTGAGGAGTTGCACACAAAGCTCCCCTGCTGTGCAGCACGGAGGAC